TTCTCTCTATTGACAATTTCTTCAATTGTGACAATTGTATTTTCCGATCGGACGACAGACAACTGTAATGTTATTTCCTTATTTGCCTTTTCAGTACGGACGATTGGAAGTTTGGAGCCGAGCAATTCGTCAAAATGCTCCCAGACAAAGTGTTTGTTCACTGTAAGAAGTCTTGCTTTCTTTATTGGTGATGATTTTTGAAAATTGCAAATGGGAATTACTTTCCTTTTCTGAAATAAACTTACTACTATATAGTTATAGTTAGTGTGGTCCCTCTTTGCCTAATCTTTTTGTTGAATCACTAATTCTAATTGGCTTCTCTTGTTCTACTTCCTGCTCCTATTTGCTGCAAAGTATCCATCAATTATAATGCTAATGCTTGTTGAGCTTCAAGATTCTTATCATCTTGCTGTTTAAGCAGGTAGTGAAAAAAATGCTTCAGCGCTTACTCTAGATGGTGTGGATGTAATGGGTGAACGTCTGGCATCTGAGGTAAGCATCACATACTTCCTCTTTCATTGACAATTGTCAACTCGAAATGCATGATAAAGACACTTTAGCATGTGTCAGGTCCTTGAAGTTATTCAAACAAGACCAAATATCCGTAAAATCTCCTTTGTTGCACATTCTTTGGGAGGGCTTGCAGCAAGATATGCAATTGGGAAATTGTACAAACCAGCTCATCAGGACGATCGGAAAGACTCGTTAGGAGACACTAGTGATGGGACTTCCAAAGGCACAATATGTGGCCTAGAAGCTATGAACTTCATAACTGTAGCTACACCACATTTGGGTTCAATGGGTAATAGACAGGTAACTATGCTTATGTGCATGATTTAGTCTAGTGACTTTTTTTTGCTGAATCGGCTTACAAATTGTTTGATTTTAATACGAATTTTGCTTCTACCAAAATTTCATTGCATAACATGATTCTGGTGAATACAAAAAACAATATAAGCATGACTCGTGTGATATCTTAATAAAGTCACTACCTGACACTTTGTTTACCCGAATTTCCGCCAACCTAAAGTATAGTCTCATATATATGATATAAATGACACTTGCTTACTTGAACCATAGTACTCTGTTTGTATCATTGAATTACCATCTCACTTATGTCTGGATGTTATTCTCATAGGGTTTAGAACAATTTGGTATTTGCTTCCAGGTTCCGTTTCTCTTTGGTGTTTCTTCCTTCGAGAAAGTTGCAGGTCTCATTATCCACTGGATATTTAAAAGAACTGGCCGTCACCTTTTCTTGAAAGATGAAGAAGAGGGGAAACCACCCTTGCTACGACGCATGGTGGAAGATACCGATGATTATCATTTCATGTAATGCCAGTCTATGCCCCCATTTATCACAAGTTAGCTCACCTAACCATGTCTCAAAGATGTTCTCACTGGAATAGTTTTTCCTCTATTGCAGATCTGCACTGCGTGCCTTCAAAAGGCGGGTGGTTTATTCAAACGTAGGCCATGATCGTATCCTTTCTGTGTTGCTTGTAGTAACTGACTCTTTAGCATGTGCCATTTACATTTATTTTCCTTAACTAGATCTGAATAGACATCGTTGGCTGGAGGACCGCATCTATTAGACGTGACAGTGAATTGCCGAAGGTATCTGACTCTGGCTGGATTTCTTCATTTGGTTCAGGATTTTTTTATATGATGGGTCTCTAATAATTGAATAACTTCCTGGTTACTAGTGGGAAGATGCTCTGAATGAGAAGTATCCTCATATTGTTTATGAGGAACTCTGCAAGTCATGTGATCCTGAGGACACACCAGAAGGCGAGAATCATTCAGTAGACATAGAAGGTCAGCTTGCACTTGATGATGTAGCACCTGTTTTAGGTGTTGATCAATTCTGCTGTAGAATT